TTCGTTAAATGTTCAAGTGCAGCTGTTGTTAAAGTGTTTTAAGACTGGACTGTCAGCCGAAAATCTGGGTCTCAACATGCGAATTGTGGCCGTCAGCGACTGTCAATGTTAGGGCAGAACGGAGAGTGGCAAGACTGGTACAAGACAACAGAAGGGCAACAGTGCATCAAATTACTGCAGATCTTAATCAGGGATCCCCTCAAATTATCTCTGAACGCACTGTTCGCCGTACACTGCATCGTATGGGATATGGAAGCCGAAGGCCTGTTCGAACACCTTTGCTGTCTGCAGGAACACAAGGATTGGACAGTCGAGAATTGGGGAAAAAATCATGCGGTCCGATGAATCACGCTGCTGGTGGGGGCAGGGTTATGGTTTGGGGCATGTTTTCCTGGCATGATTTGGGCCCTTTAATTCGTGTGGAACAACGTCTGAATAGCACAACATACCAAAGTATAGTTGCTGATCAACTTCATCCTATCATGTTGATGGCGTATCCCAATGGAGATGGCTTCTTCCAACAAGACAATGCACCATGCCACGGTGCACGTATTGTGCAGCAGTGGTTTCAAGAACATGAGGGAGACATTACCTTGCTTAGGTGGCCCCCACAATCACCAGATCTCAATCCAATTGAGCATTTGTGGGACGAAGTTGAAAGAGCCATCAGGCAGCTGGTTCCACTACCATCAAATCTCACAGAACTGGAGAGTGCTATTCATCAGGCATGGTGTCAGATTCCTCGCATCACCTTTCAACATCTTGAGTCAATGCCAAGAAGGCGGCAAAAGGTGGCCCAACGATGTACTGATGGGGTGGTCATAATAATCTAGCCACTCAGTGTGTAAACACTGTGTGGCTACTATAATGAGGATTGCCTTGTAAATACGGCTCCTGGAAGTACATGGTCTAATGCACAGATGCAGGATGAAACTCCCAGTGTTCACACCATAATCAATATTTGTACTCGTCTAAATTCATTCAGAAACTTTTATTTTCTTAAACCTTTACCGCACTAGCAACAAAGAAGTGTTGAACAGCTTATGATTGTAACACCCTTTAGTTGAGTTACCATATATAAAACTAGATGTCCCTAATTAAAACTAAGCTATTTTGCTGCTATCTATATTTCAATGAAATCTTTGCCAGCAGGTGCAAAAGTCAAATTCGTCTGCTTACTTAGACCGGCTGCTCTCACCATAGTAAATGGAAGATATTAAGAGAGTGAAGGATGCTTTGGAGTGTGTTGGTAATATTTAATTGCCTCACCAGGAGATGATTAATTTGTTACAGCTCCTGCTGCACTTTCTGCCTTGCAGCCATATGCTCTCTGTGTGACATACATATAAATCAAGTGTTCAGCTTATTTGTTGAATTCATTTGAAATAAATATTTAAGGCAGCAGAGATTGACGCACGCCAGAAAAAGAAAGAGTATCAGCTAATACTATGGATCAAAGGGCTTTCAGTGAATTTGTAGAATACTTTATGCAGAACCGTCCATCACCACATCACTCTTCTATTCCCATGATATTAAGGGCAGGCAATTAGAAGGGTCAGGGTGCTTATGTTACAGATTTACAGGCCAGCCGCTGTCAACATTTAATTCCCAACAGTAAACAAAAAAATTAGATTTTGGTACTCACTGCAAAATAAAATTTTTGGATTCTACGGAAGGACACAGCTTTGATAAGTAACCTAGAGTTATACTACCATCTATAAGATATATGGACACTAGACACATAGAAAACAAAAAGGTCAGACCTCTTGAGGTTATAACCCCTCCCACCTGCTTATATGTAGCAAGCAGTCCAAAGAGAAAATAATCGCATATGGAGGGACCGCGGGTGTTCCTCAATGGATTCAGAGAAAAGGATTTTGCCACAAGTTCAAAAATCCTATCTTCTCCATCGTCCATAGTGTGACACTGCTTTGATAAAAAGGCAACCTAGGGACCTCCAAAAGCAGTCCAAAGTGAAAGGTAAAAACACAAACAGCATTGCAGCTTGCCATACCTTTTGACCAGAAGCAGACACACTAATCTTTGAGAATGTAAGAAGGTCTCCTTGTGCAAAAGACAAGATCGCAGTTGTACACATCTGTGACACCAAGACCTGGCCATGGAAAGCCCAAAAACCATTCACTACACTGGTGGAGTGAGCTTTAACCCTTTAGCTGCCACCGACGCAAGACTTACGGCAGAACACAACCGCTTGCAAGTTGCCACGTCAGTAGGCCTTACGTTGGTGGCTGCTCCTGACGGTCCCTGTAAAATAATAGCCGTTAGCTGTCATCTGCTTTTTTTCAGCCACTGATATTAACAAAAAAATCTGGGCTTTACAGCACTTCCTGTTCATTCAAGAGTTTCTGATGGACAACAGAACTCACTATAGAGCCTTCTACCCATTCATAACTGGTTGATAGTAAAATATTTACTATCTCCAGTTTGTGAATGAATGGGAAGCCTCTGTACTGAGTGCTTTCCATTCATTCAGAACAGAGGCTGCAGAAAGACTTTGAGGACTCCGTCCTCAATTTCTTTTTCTAGTTCAAAAGGGAAATGTCAGGGGTCTTTTTAGACCTTTAATATTTCCCTGAAGCCCCCCCTAAAATTAAAATGAAATAAAATAAATCTAATAATAATAAAAAAAATTTAAAAGTACCCCGCCCCCGCGAGCACGCGCGTCCCCACGTAAACACGCGTCGGGTGCGCCTACGCATGAAAACGACGAACGCGCTACACATGTTGGGTATCGCCGCGCACGCCGGAGTGAGAGCAATAATTCTAGGGCCAGTATTTTGGGGTATCTCTAAATTGATGACCTGTGGAGGCTTTTAAAGTGTCTTTTATTGATTTTTTGGGGTACTGCAGTTTTTCGCCGTTTCACGGTCGCACGCAATCTGTAAACTGGGCATGTTGGGTATCGTTTTACTCGTTGTAACCTCATCTTTTATATTTCATTAAAAAAATGGGTAATTTGTTGTGTTTTGGGGCATTTAAGTAAATTTGTCACTAAATTTTGGGGTTTAATAAGGAGTTGCGCTAATATTGCGCAACATAAAAATTTTCAACTACCACCATTTTATTCTATAGGGTCTTGGCATTCAGAAAATATATAATGTTGGGGGGTTTTACGTCATTTTCAGGCCTAAAATGTGGAATATAACATGGGTGCAAAAATGGAAAAAAGGGCCTCAGTCATGAAGGGGTTAAGCAAAAAAATTCCAAACGCGGCAAAAAAAAACTGCAAAAATGCAATGCGTTCCAGATCTGGTCCAGAAATTAGTGTGAATCTGCCCTTAGAAGTTTTTTCCTGAAATTAACAGAGGAGTTTTCACTGCAGTACTCAACTGAAGAACAGCTTTACTGAATAAGTTTAATTTAGGCAAGAAAGACAAACAATGAATGAACAGAAGCAAAATTAAGACAGCTCAAATCACACTGTGCAGTCTTTAAAACACGCAATATGGACTTATTGTTTTGTCAAGCACTATTACACATATCTGATGCATGGAAGAACTTTACAAATAAAAGTATATTGAACGTGATGCATTATTAGGCTCCGTTCACACCCAAGTGTCAGTGTTTTGTCAGTCGTGTTCATCCAAGCATTTTCGAGCATTTTACACGTTTAGCACGAGGAGAAATCTTTTCAGTACACATGGATGCCCATTGACCCCTTCGTCGCCAGCATCGGGGCTGTTTAAACAGACTCTGTTTAAGCTTGTAAAGCCAACTGTTGGCTTTACAACAGAAGCGATTCTGGCGACTTACCTGTCGCCAGATGGCTTCTGTGTTCCGCCCCGTTGCCCCTCATACGGGCCCGGCTTCCTTGGTGTCCGCGGGGAGCTGGTCGACGAACTTCCGTTCATCGATCCCCTCCCCGTTCTATGGGATCGGGAGTCAGATAGCCAGAGGTGCAATGGCCAGAATAAAGACCAAAATTCCACATAGCACATTTTAAGTAGGAGCAGTAGAGGGAAGATGCTTTCTCAACGCTGCATGGTGGGAAAGAGTGCAGTGCATGCATGGCACTCCACCCAGTGTGGGACGTTTGCACTCAGCTCCACCACATTTACCTCTTGTGACAAAACCGGTGGGCATGAGGAATAAAGGCACCCAGTGACCTAAATAATTAGTGCATGTTCCAACCAGCCTACTCAATAACCAAGTCTTCAAGGGCTCTGAAATCTGAAAAGTGCTCAGTAATTAACTTTTATCAGAACCGAGACTGGAAAGCACCATACAAGGGACCTTGTGCATGCAGGTCATTTCCAAGCTACTCCCACTCATCCAGTCCTGCGGGATCTGGAAACAGTACACCAAAAGCCAGGCTAAGGACAACCACACTAGAAAAAACTGCAAATGAATAGACAATACTCAACATTGCAGAGTTGTAGAAAAAAAAAAAACAGGTCTATCCTCTAGGATTATAGCAAAATACCAAGGCATGCTGGTAGTGGGAGCGGTTATTCTGGGCTGGCCTACAGTTTTGTTTTATCAGTGTTCAGTTCTTCTGTAGGCAGCAGTAGAACGTGTAGGTTTAATGACTTCCTATGTTCTTCAATAAACAAGAAATACACTAAAATTATTTTTTTTAATGAACACCTACCTGCATGAATTTACAAGGTAGTAGAAAGTTGCACTCAGAACTTATTCATACTCTGAATGAGCTCTCATTGAGCGAAACACATCAGAGGAAGCTCAGGAGGAACAATATACATAGTTGCTTACAGATCCGGAGTATGAATTTCCACAGCACAAGAAAGTAATTTTGAAACGCTTTATGCTATTACTAATAGGTACATGAAAATAGTATGACTTAACAGAACAAGATGGAAAACAATATAACTATTTGTAAACCATTCACAAAACAGTTATTCAGTAACTGCCCAAACACACTTTAACCTTACACAATGAGCCGCATGAACAGATAAATGTTTTCTTACTTTCCTTTTACACAACAAAAAAAGGTGATTCTGCCACAAGGATTGTATTGTTTAAGCAATGTCGGCAGGTGCATTCTCATCAAATTCTTCTTCTTCACCTTTGTCAGGCACGGGAGTAATGTCTTCTTTGGCAATCAGAAAATATTCATGACCACTGATCTGCTTGGCCTCCATGCGATCGCCACAACAAAGTAAGCTCGACAGAAGATCCTTTGCTTTGTCATTCTAAAAGGTGATGGTGGGGATATGGGGCAGGAGAGACAAAATTGTTTTTAAAAAGAATTTTAAAACAGGGCACCATCTCTTATGTAACATGCAAACAATAGCCACAAGTAATGTTGATAATAACACTAAATTACATTAAAGGATGTCCATTACTGAAAAAATTAAAAGTGCAAAATGTAATCCGGTTTTAAATGTTTTTTCAAGTGCATCTATGTTAGATTTGGCTAACAGTGAAGAGGGTTATAACCCCTTAGACGTTTTGTGTTGCTGTGTCCACCCACTATGGAAAGTTACCCTCTCTATTTTTCTTGGTGACCATCATCAGTAGGAGTGATAGTGAAGGAAAATCCAATAGTTTGAGTTACCACAAAAGCAAAAGGTGTTGAGAAATCCTCCAAGAGGTGATTTACCCCACTATGAAGAGATTTATTTTTATTCCTACTGTATCTACAGGACAGGAAGTGAAAACTTGTAATAAGACAATGACAAAAAAAAACAGAAAAAAAAATTGACATTTAACCATTCCTTAAGCTACCAAAAAAAGGAAGCATGGATTTTAGATATACTTTGGAGGTCCTCCCTGCAAATATGTGGCTAGGAAATAGTAGTTAGATGCAGAAGGAGCTTACCTGTACCAATTACATTTCAACTGCTGTATTTTAACAGCTGTTAAACAAAGCAAAACAACAGATTGGGCCTCTGCCGGTGGGTAGAGCTGGGAGTGCCCATGCAAAGATTTCATCACCAAAGTCTCTGAGATCTAGAACAAGACTGAGGGCTATTCAACTTTGGAGATTTGAGCATTAGTGGGAGCAGAACAATACAGGGAGATGATACCACTAGAGTCCTTGAGATAGTCAAATGAACATGACAGATATTAAACAACCCATCAGTGCCTACCTAAAAGTGGAATACCAGGTTTCGTTGAGTTGGACATATACCTAGGTGAATCTAATACACAAATTACCTACTACGACTGAATATTGGTTATCAAAGTATATCACTGTGATTATAACTAGGGATGGACCGAAATTTCGTCCGCTGAAACATTTTGGCTGAAAATGGCACTTTGGGCAAAAATTCATTGCATCCCAGCTTCTCTCCTCCGAGCTGGGCGCAGTACTACGTGCCTTCTGATACAGCACCAGGGGAGGAGAGAAGCTTTCAGGATGCTGAACGGTGCGGTGACAGCGGTCATTGTTGCAGGAGGCGTAGCTCTCCTCCTGCACCTCCCGGCTCGGCCTGTGTCAGGATGTAGAGCGGTGCTGGGCAGTGACAGCTGTCACTTTACAGGAGGCAGAGCACGCCTCCTAAACCTCCCTGCTCCGCCTCCTGCGTCAGGGTGGAGTGTGGTGGAGATCCGTCACAGGAGGCGGATTAAGGATAGAGAGCGGCAAACACTCGCTGAACAGCTGATCGGTGAGTGTTTCTAAATATTTCAATCTTGTGTTTTGCACGGTGCCATCCGTGAAGTTACTTCGAGCACCATTTATTTGATTGTTGGCCGGGACTGCTGAAAGGTGTGCGGAGGGCACCTCCATCAATTGTTTCTAAATAACTGGACATAGTGTGCTTGGGGATTAGGGGCGGGGAAGTAATATTTGGTTTCAATTTTGGCCTGACAAATCTTTATTTTCGGTCCCAAAATTCCACTTCGGCGCATCCCTAATTATAACTATGATGCAAACAACACATTGGCAGAAAAAACCCAAACATATTCATAGTAAATACAAAAGAAAATAATCCACATGATGCATTTCAGCCCATCATGACTTAATCATGTGCTGTGAAAACTGATTTCCCCCATGCACTGACTACTATAACTGCGGAGCAGGCACTGGTGAATTAACAAACTTCATGAACTATTGTATACATGTGTATGTGACAAACATTTACTTCAGAAAAGAAAAACATACCACATCAATCCTCTTTACATCAGGAGTTCCATTTGGTTTGAGTGGAATATCTTTGTTACCAATGCAAAGCTGCAGATAGAGAAAATGTTTAGTACATTAAACTAAAGTATATTACATAAAGGAGCTTTGTCTTCTAAGTAGTATGTGAAATATTTTTCTTGTGCTCTTTTCTCCAGAACCCCCCGCCCCCCCAATAAGGTAGAAGAAAAAGAAGGTGCGCCACATGTTCGATTATGTCTTCCTGCCAGAAACACGAAGCTTTAGTTTGTGGAATAACCGTGTTTAAGGAGACTATATCCTAGATACAGTAAGGATGTCTTAAAGCAGTTCAACTGAGGGGTGGGCAACAGCAACAACCGCTAACAGGCCCAAGAAGAACAGGGATAGCTTTCAGGCTGTCTGAAGGGCCAATGCTAGATTTTTAACATAACCAAAGAGCAACACAGAGAATCAACCTGAAGCTCAGGATCTAAATAGAAGTTCGCCATCAAAGGAAAGACTCCACATGAAAGAGAACATTGAAATGCAACCAGGGAGAACGTGATAAACCAAAAACGCAACAAAAAAACTGGTAAAACTTTAATGAAGGAAAGAAAGGACCTACAACCTGATGTGGTCAACAGAATAATGGGGACAACCCTTAGAAGGAACAGGTCCCAAAAGAGAACCTCACACAACACTGGTCCTGGTGAGAAAGACCAGCCAGTCTACACAGGAAAGCCCAAGGCATTCCACCCCTTGCCCTTAGGAGCAAGGGAATTAGAACTTTAGGAATTAGGACTAAAGACATCTCGCTAGGCAACAAATCTTGCCAGGTATGATTTGCCAGGGGAAGAAAAGAAAAAAATCAGCATCAGCACAGCCGCTCAAAAGGAGTGTAAACTTATTCCTGAGATCACCATATAGCTCAGGGTTTGAGTTCAATGTAATCAACAGAGTAGGTGTAGGAGTAAAAAAAAAGTTCAAAAGGCGGTTAAGTGCCAAGGAGATCATCAACTCCGGGTTGTGAAAAGGTCAGATGTGTCCCACAGAGTATCATAGGGGTAAAACTTTCTGACCTCACACCAAGTGAAGCAAGCCTTCCATGTGCGATGGTAGACCTTACGGGGTGTAAATTTTTTAAAAAGTAGTTAGAAATACTGACTCAGAGTGACCCTCGTCTCAAAGCCTGGGTTTCAACAGCCATGACCCGTGGAGTAGGGTGGCAAACCGGTCCTTGAGATAGAAGATCCATACAATCTGAAAGAGCCCAGGGATGTCTGCCAGAAGACTGATCAGGCTGTAGTACCAGATCCATATGGGCCAGTCTGGAGTTGTAAGTTTCACCAGAATGCCCTCCATCTCGATCTTATGGAGTAGATGAGGAAGCAGTTTCAGGAGGAGGAAAAGCCTAGATCAGGCTGTACAGACCTTACAGAGTCACCACAGCATCAAGGGCATCTCTGCATATGGAGACAAACCAGTCCAGTTTGTTGTGGAACCTGGGAGGCCAGGTAGTCCACATCCTGCATCCCCAACCTGTGACATGGGTCCTGAAACACTTTTGGGTGTAAGAACCTTTCCCCTGGGTCTAGGTGCTGCTGGCTGGGGTAGTCTGCCTGTCAGTTGTCCACACCTGTTGTGTAAATGGCAAACAAAGATGGAACGCAGAGTTCTGCCTAGAGTAGGATCCTTTCTACAGCAAGACTTCTGGTTTCTCCCTGATGGTTGACATATTCCACTGCTGAGGTATTGTTTGATTGAATGACCCTGGAGACTGTATGGGGAATTTATCAAAACTGGAGCAGACAGAATCTGGGACAGCTGTCCATAGTAACTAATCAGCTCCTCTCTTCAGTTGTGTTCAGTTAAGCTTTGAAAATGAAAGATAGAAGACAACAACTGCTCCAGATTCTGTCTGCTCCAGTTTTGATAAACCCCCCTCAGACTCCAGTGATGCAGGAACAGCCAAATTGCACAGATCTTCAGAATGTTGATTGGAAGATGGGGTTCCACAGGCCTCCTGGTTTCCTGCACTAACAAGGTGTCTAGAAATCACTCCCAGCCCCTCAGGCTGGTATCTGTCATGGTGATATTTCATGACCGTGGGAGATAGCAGAGATCAAATTAATTGTCTAGAGACTGAATGGATTGGCTCCACTGACATTTTGTACTGTAGGGGTCTGGAGTGCAATGAAGCAAATGGAACTATGTTTGTGTCCTCCTGTTACCCTAAGAAGAACTATGGGGAAAAGCCCTAACCCCATAGTTCTCCTTTAAGTTTTGGATTTCCACATCATATTGACGGTCAAAATTTGAATGTACTGTTCTCTCAATAGTTTGTCATCTAGATATCCCAAAATGGGAATAACTTGGGAGCACAGTAAAGCTAGCAAAGGAGCCAGAACCTAACAGGATCCAGATGATAGGCCAAATGGAATAGCTACAAACTGGTATTGTTGACAATAAAAGTGTTGACAACAAAAAAAAAGATGTAAAAAATTTTTTTTTTTTCAAAACTTACCCGAAGCACCTCCACCTCCCCTGGCTGCACTTACATGTCTAAAGTCACAGCCAGTCAGTGTAGTGGTCCATACACCGGACTTTCCAACCCAGAAGTATAAAATGCACATAATGCTCGCAAATGGCGAGCATCATTGGTCAAGCATAGTAAAGGCATTCCTATTATAACTACTGCCACAAAAGGAAAGCCTGATAGTCAATAGTGCAACCTATGAAAGACCTTATGGAAAGATGTGCACCATATTAATGCAACAGTGCAAAGACCAGTGGCCGAGAACCACTTTTATACAATACAGGTCATTTTTACCATTTGTAGGAAGACTATATATACTAGGGTCAGGGCCGTCTTTAATATTGATTGGAGCATGGGCAAACATTTTCTTGGGCCCCCTGCCACACCCCCGCACCCGCCATGCAATTTTGCCCCATGATGCAATATTGCCTGCTATATGCTGACAGCTTGCAGTGACAGCTGCAGTGCGCTCTTTCCGAGCACACTGCAGCTCGGAAAGATTGCGACAATATTGTCAGGATCCACCCCTCTACCTGATAGCTGGCTCTGCCTCTGTAGATCCAGAGCCAGCTGTGGCGGCCAGTGCAGATGAAGCATTAGCACTAGTTTATGGAGTACAGGGCCCCAAAGCAATGACTGGGCCTGGGGCAGCTGCCCCTTTTGCCCCGCCTTAAAAATGGCCCTGACTAGGGTTGCACAGATACCAAGTACAGTACTCGGTACAAGTACGAGTACATGTACCGATACTTTTGAGCTCCAAGACTAGACTAGAGACAAAAATTCAAAAGTTAGGAGGCAGCTGTCATTTGTAAGGAGCACACGGAGCTCCCGGGATTTGTACATCTGTTTTAATGTACGATTTTGTTTTTATAAATAAAAGGGATGCACATATACCAGTTTTGCGAGTACGAGTACTGGTACTTGCCGAGTACTGATACATTTTTGTTTATTGTCGTGTGACAGTTCTTCTAAAACAATACAGACTAATGATTTCAGGACAGTGGTGGAGTGCCAGAGCCAGGTCCCAGCTGCAACCCCGGTAGTTCTCATGAAAATGCCAAGTATCTGCACTGGTACTCGAAAAGTATCTGTGCATCCCTAATATATACCAGTATATACATCGATCAGCCATAACATTATGACCACTCGCCTATTAAGTAGGGCCCCCTTTTGCTGCCAAAAAAGCCACGATCCGTCGAAGCATGGACTCCACTAGACCTCTAAAGTTATGCTGTGGTATCTGGCACCAAGCTGTCAGCAGCAGATTCTTTAAGTCCTGTAAGTTGCTTAATTGTATTGAGAGCTTGAGAATTTGGAGGCCAAATCAACACCTCAAACTCGTTCTGTTCCTCAAAATATTCTTGAACCATTTTTGCAGTGTGGCAGGGTGCATTATCCTGCTTAACCACTTGAAGTCTGGGGTGTTAAACCCCCTTCCCATCCAGGCCATTTTTCAGCGCTGCGGTACTTTGACATTTATTCCGTCACGCAACGCTGTACTGAAATGAATTAAATACCCTTTTTGTTTTTTTACACTTATGGTTATTGCTATTACATAGGGGGATACAATGCCCATATATTTTAGCAAAGGCACACTGACAGGTCCTCTTTATGGAGACATTAGGGGTCTCTAGGACCCCTGATGTCACTGGGGACCACAAAAGAAGCTGATGAAGCAGAGATCAAAAAAATCACGCCATAAAACCGATCGGTAGCTATAGAGACGCTGATCGGTTGTATGTGAAACAGCCGCTAGCGGCTGTAAAAACGAGCGGATCTTTCCTGCCCGTGCGCTAGGGGGAGCGCGCGAGCAGGAAAAAAAAATCAGCCGTCCGTTTTTTTCTACGGGCGGAAGGCAACTGGTTAAAGAGGCCACTGCCATCAAGGAATATTTTTTCTATGATGCAGTGTACAGCAACAAAGTTTAAGTAGGTGGTACTTGTCGCAGTAACATTCACATGAATGGCAGGACCCAAGGTTTCCCAGCAGAACATTGCCCAAAGCATCACACTGCCTCCACCAGCTTGCCTTCTTCCCATAGTACATTCTTGGTGCCATCGCTTCCCCAGGTAAGCGAAGTACATGCTTCACCCAGCCATCCACATGATGTAAAAGAAAAACACGATACATTAGACCAGGCCACCTTCACCATTGCTCCGTGGTCCAAATCTGATGCTCAGGTGCCCACTGTGGGAGCTTTTGTTGGTGGACACAGGTCAGCATGGGTACCCTGACCGGTCCGCAGCCCCATATGCAACAAACTGCGGTGCACTGCGTGTTCAGACATCTTTCTTTGAGAACCAGCATCAACTTTTTCATTTATTTGAGCTGCAGTAGCGCTTCTATTGGATCGGACTACATGGGCCAGCCTACTGTGGTAGGTTCTGAGGAGTTTATGGTTGAGTGTGCAGGATCTATGGAGGGTTGTTCAGGCTCTCAGGTGGCTGTTTGGGGTCTGTGGTGGGCTGTGCAAGGTTTATGGTGAGCTTTACAGGGTCTCAGATGGCCGTGCGGGGTCTATGGGGGGCTGCAGGCTCTCAGGTGGCTGTGCAGGCTCTATGGTGAACTGTGCAAGGTGTAAAGTTGGCTGGCCGTGCGGGGTCTCAAGTGGCTGTGCTGTGTCTATGCTGGACTAAATAGACTCACCAGGGGTCCTGGTCGATCTCATGGGCGGTGTGGAGATTTGTAACACCGAACTAGCAGATTTTCAGCCGGCGCTGTAAAGGGTGCCGCCGTTCACCGGAAGGCCGCAGGGACCTTCGGCAGCCTTCCTGAGAAGGGCCCGTTTATAGCGCCGGCTTCAGTTTAAAAATGTAAAGCGTTACTATCGGCTCTTAGTATCATGGCATTTTCTTGAGTACTGGTGAAAATGCCCGGTATTGGTGCATCCCTGGTCTTCACTTCAACTGTCAGTGGTCATAATGTTATGGCTGATCGGTGTATGTGAAAAAGTACAGAACACAAAAATATTAAAAATACAGCACACGTTCTAAAAGAAATATTTAAAATAATGAACATTCTAATAAAGGAGGGAACTAGACATACCCATAGCAAGATTATTCCATAGGCATACACATCTGTGGCAGCAGAAACAGGCTGACCTGCCTTTAATTCAGGAGCTGTACACAGTGGGAAACAAATGGAGGTGGCTGAACTCCTCTGTTCCTTAAGGAGCACACAAAAAAAAAAAAAAAAAAAAAATTCTGTAAAAAAAAAAACACAGTATACCACAGTTCAAAACATCACTAGAAAACAGTGCCCAGGTAAATGGAAATTAAACATCATAATGACATACTGTATATACCCGATGTCCAAAATGAAAAAAAACTGTCATACCTACAGACACATTTCTAAAAGAAACTGGGAGGTAATGAATTAAATGAATGTTCGCGTTAGCCAACAGTGACTGCTGATTTTACAGACATACCAGACAATGGAGATATTTTTCTGGAAGACCCATTAAAAAAGGTACACTGGTCATCCTCAAAACCTAGTATAGAAATGCATATATGAACATAACCTACCTGCACAGACTTTAATTTGAATTGCTTTGTAGTGCAAGGATTCTGCTTGTTCATGGAGTTGTTTATGAAGGTACAGATGCACCTCTCCTAGCCATCCTGTAGTTAAAGTGACACTAAACTCAAGAGTTAAATCTTAAAAAAGCATTTAAAAGGAGAACTATGGGGTCAGTGTTTTCCCCCCATAGTTCTCCTTAGGGTAACGGGAGGACACAAACTAGCGTCCTCCCATTACCCTAAGCTCAGTATACCGCGAGCTATACTGAGACGCCGGAGCGGATCACGACTTAGCTGACGGGATCCGCCCAGCTGCGTGAGTGACAGCTGGCTCTGCCTATCTAGATGCAGAGCCAGCTGTACCTGCCCCCTCCCCCGTCCGTTCCGCCAGTCAGCGCTAGCAGATCGGAGCGGGGAGAGGGGAATCCAGCCCCTCCCCTGTCACGGCAGAGAGCCATGACAGGATCGAGAGGCGAGCGAACCCGGTATGTGTTCCCTCACCTCCCGATCTACTGAGCCGACCTGCGACAGTCTCATTGTCACAGGTCGGCTAGAACTATGAGGTTAGTGAAAAGCACTCACCTCATAGTTCTCCTTTAAGTACCTTAACGATTAAACATTTTTTATCTTATTTGTGCACCACTCGGCTGTAGATCCACAAATCTGTGAATTGGTGCAGACACTGTCCTTCCTTCTGGAGTGGGGCTACTTTTGTTCCCCATGGTCCCTGTGTGTCTTGTAAAGTAGCCATCTCACCAAGCTCACTCCTGCGATGGACTATTATCGCAATACAAATTAGCAAATCAAATGTGAGATTGTAGTCCATGAAGGTAGCGAGCTTGGAGTAGTGGCTACTATACAACACACACACAGGGACAATGGAGAACAAAAGTAGCCAAATGAATTTAGAGATGATTTACATCTACAGCCAAGTGATACACAAATAAGCTAAATTTTTGTCAATAGTTAAAAGTGCATTGTGCATTTTTAAGATTTAAAAAGGAGAACTATGAGGTGAGTGCTTTTCACTCACCTCATAGTTCTAGCCGACCTGTGGCAATGAGACTGTCACAGGTCGGCTCAGTAGATCGGGAGGTGAGCGAACACATACCGGCGTTCGCTCACCTCTAGATCCTGTCACAGCTCTCTGCCGTGACAGGGGAGGGGCTGGATTCCCCCCTCCCCGCTGGCTGAATGGACGGGGGAGGGGGTGGGTAACTCGCTCGCGGTATACTGAGACGTCGCAGCTGAAGCGGATCCCGACAATTGTGCCGGGATCCGCCCAGCTGCCTGACTGACAGCTGGCTCTGCCCATCTAAAGGCAGAGCCAGCTGTACCCGCCCCCTCCCCGCCAGTCAGCGCTGGCGGATCGGAGCGGGGGGAATCCAGCCCCTCCCTTGTCACGGCAGAGAGCCGTGACAGGATCGAGAGGTGAGCGAACGCCGGTATGTGTTCGCTCACCTCCCGGTCTACTGAGCCGACCTGTGACAGTCTCATTGTCACAGGTCGGCTAGAACTATGAGGTGAGTGAAAAGCACTCACCTCATAGTTCTCCTTTAACTCCTGAGTTTAGTGCCACTTTAACATGTGCAGGATTTCTGAGAGACAGTAAACATTGAACAAGGCTTTTCTACTGGAGCAGTAAGCAGTCACGCTGGGGATTTTGATGCACATCAGCGTTAGTTTTATTATTGGTACAGCTGTACTTAAATACAATTCCACATAGTTTCCTTATTTAAAATGTTTTTCATGGTGTAATACATCCTGATCTTGCTTTTTTACCATCTGTTGAATCACTGGCCTGGCACGAATATGCATGCATGAATAATATTAAAAATAGTTGTATAGGGATGACCAAATCTACCCCCAGACCTCCTTCTAGAGCGTCCTAGCATAATTTTTTCTTTACTTGATTTTTTTTTTTTTTTAGAGAGTCCTTTTTTCCCCCCTTTAACTCCGAGTTCATCACAAGGCTTGTACAATTCTAGCAGGGACAGCTGCTGAAAGAATGGATTAGCAGGGCACCCTAGATGAGTTCTTATGAATAGAGGCATGCCCCCAGTCCCGGAAATACATTTCCAGAGGGCCCTTTCCCTACACACAGTGAGGAAAGCCTTTTGGGAGTCAAGGTAGCAGCAATGTTTTGATGGGAAAGAAGTCACTTTATACGCGTGAAGGACAGAGGTGCGGGAACAAACTGAGTTCTATAGTCCAACCGTGAGTAATATAGAACTAAAACCTTCTTGCACTGCATACTCTCTACAGGAAAATAGGAGCTCAATGCATTTTACACTTTTTTTGCACTTAAAGTAATAAAACATAGGGAAATGTACATGTATTGCAGAGATGTACTGCATTTTTTTTTTCTAAACATTGCAGCTACCATATTTCAATTCGGTCATGTTCCATTTAATCCCTTGAATCCAACTGTTCCTCTAACTGATACAATTAAGTAAAATGGCGCCATTAAAATAGCTGGTCTGCCTCTTGTGCTCAGGCTATGTTACCACAGATACGCACAAAATTAAAATGCAAGAAATGACTATGTTACTAAACTTGTTAAATGTTACTAGTGAAGACTTTCCTCAACTCCCACACAACACAATGATGCACAGACATATTTATTCACTGTACTGCTGTCAGGCTGTTGCTCAAGGATGTCAGGCTGTTGCCACCCATACATCCCTGCATCTATGATCTGCCATGCCTTTGAGAGGAAACCCTAGGTACTCACTACTGTGTAGGTTGTGTCCCAACAATGCGGCAGGTGCAGTGATCCAGTGTAGCGGTGCAGGGATCTGGACTTCCATGGGTAGTAAAGCATTGGCGCCACAGTGAGTGGCCAGCTCATTGCATGCCAAGAGAAGGAAAATGGCTGGTGCATGCGCAATAGAGTATCCCAGAGCAGGCTTCGCACAGGCACTGTGTGGTTCCATAGGCTGCTAATGGGACTAATGAGACACAAAAGAGAAGGACAGCGGTCCCCAATGCCCCCAAGTTAACTCTTACAAGGAGAAAGGGCTGCTACACCAGGTACCTATAGTAGTGACTATCCCTGGCTTACTTGACCCTCCAAGCTGCAGTAACCAAGAAGGAACATTGTGGTTACTTCAAAGGGACATAACCCATCCAATCTTTGCCCTCCCAGGGGGTCTTCAGGTACAGGAGTCCACCAAAATTGACCATGGCCCTAGATCTGTACAGAATCCTGCAGCAACTGCACGGAATGCTCCATGCAGGATCCAGTGCCCTAAGCATATTTAGGGCAAGCAGCTTCGGTAAACTTGCTAGGAGTCTTGAGCTGAAAAGTGCAGAAAAAAAATGCGTTTCCATCAAAGCAGAGAAAAGGCGTCCATCCCCTAAGAACACTAGAAAAAATCTGAAGCAGGCTGGGAGTAGGAGGGGTTATACACGGCTGCCCTGACAACATTGATCTGCTGGTGTCCATCACCTGAAGGTAGCTGCATAACCCACAGGTTCCAGAATTACCTCTGTGATGCACGATCAAGAAATATGCTGGTTTTATAGTCCTGATGAGCCAAATGGGCTGCATAGATGCCAAATATCTGCATGCTGCAAGCTCAAAATATTGCTCAGAGATATACCCATCACCACCAAGACTCTGCACTCCAGTTTTAAAATCAAAATCTGCAACTATGTTGATTTCGGTACTTCTTGTGGGATCAATCCTTTTTTCTAAAAAGGGTAACAGATCCTCCAGTATGTTAAAAAAAGCTGGGAATATTTACCAATTTTTTTACATTTAAACATGATTATCGCTACCCAGGGAATCCCCCATACTATAAAACAACATATACAGTTAAAAGCAGTTTCCTCACTCACAAATCAAAATTTGTACGAGTACCCTAAGAAATAACAGACACAAATCTCAAACACTACAAAATTCAATAACTTCATGCAAAAGTCTCACAAGCACTGTCAGTGTAAAAATTCACACACATCCTGGACAAAGTCACTTCTCAAGTGGTATGTGAATTTAAAACAGGGGTCTCAAACTCAAATCAATCGGGGGTCCACGCGACATTTCTTTGCTCCCATGGATTCATGTGTTTAGGAATCACATTGATTCCTAACCACATGTAATCATATCACCACATGCGGTGTGCAGGCGTTTACATGCAGCGGCTGTCACTTGATCATTACCTTGAATGGGTGACAGCTGCCGCTTGTAAACACCAGGATAGGGATTTCTGCTACAGGAAAACGCAAGGTCCTGACCCAGGAATCTCGTCACACCTATACTTAGACGAGAATTGTCTAATACACTCTTCTCCCTCCTCCACTTCCCCCATCCCTTGTACACAAAAAATAGTGTACACTACCCCCAAACTCATAAAAAAAATACTACACCTGCACATATGAAAAAAAAACAAAAAAAACCCCACACATAAAATATAACCCCGTTTCCCTCCCCCGCCGCACACCCACATATAAAATAAAACAAAGAGCCCTCTCCTGCTTACCTTTTTGTAGGGAGAAGGCACAATCCCTGGTGATCCAGTGGTTGATTAGTAAGGTCTGGTGCAGACCCTTACCAATCCATCCTGTCGGCCAGCATTCATTGAAGGATTTCAGAGCGCTGGCCGAAAGGATCTTGGTTTCCGGGCAGAGAAGCAGCTATTTAGTCTGCATCCAAAAGAGATGCTGACCGTGTAGCTGCTACCGCAAGTCAGGTATTCGGTCCGTGACCGCGTGCCTGACTTGTCAGCTGGCTGCGGGCGTCACAGGCCGGTACTTTGAGACCCCTGATTTAAAAAGGAGGACTACGTTCTTCTACAAACACAATTCGCGCACACACACTGAAATTAAACTGACAAATCACATGGACTACAAAAGATGCTTTTATGTTAAACGCCAAAAGAGAAAAAAAAAAAAAAAACACATCTAAAACTGTGTTTCATAAAACAATATTATAGTATATCAGCTGTAAAAACAACCACATATGTCCGAACAAAAATAACGAAAATCTACTTACTGCATCTCTAGTGAAATCAAAATCCCCAATAATTCCTCTCTCTCGGTTTATAGCAAACACATTGTTTTCATGTAGGGAACCAATAGTTATATTGGCTGCATGCAGGGTTTGCATGCCTTGTGCCACCCCACTCATTACTTTTACAATTTCCTGCAGAACATAAAGAAGATTTTTGTAATAGATTATATTTAGTCATTATCAGTTATTGGGATGGCTGTATTTTTAAAATGCCAATTACTGCACAGGTATGCAGAAGACCATGTCTTTTAGCTAGGGAAATGCAACAGACAAAACTCAATTTCCCCAAAGGGCATTTGATCAGAGGTGCTGCAGGATTTTTTTTTTGTCTACTTATTGGTATTAAGATTATAGTCCACGACAGGAGCAAACTTGGAGCAGTGGCTACTTTACAACACACAGGGACTGTGTCAACACTTTACAACACTGAAGGAAGGACAGCATCAGCACCAATTCAGTGATAATTTGAGGATCTACAGCTGAGTGATACACAAATAAGATACATTTTCCTTAATAGTTTATGTACTTGAATGCATTTTTAATACCCCTTTAAGTGTCACTTTAAAAAAGGGTCTACATTTAATTAGCACTCCCCTTAAGTGTAGCACCCACTTGAGGGCTGCAGCTTTAACTCAGTAATGCTGTAGCACGTATGCAGCTAAGGGACAAGAATTTATTTGCAAGATCCATCCAAAATAGCAGTTTGTTCTTGTGCACACACTTGGCTTGTATCTTTCGAAGATTTAGGCTGGGTTCACACACCTAGACGTATTGAATATGCCCGTCTGTCGCGCGTTTTTTACCGCGATTCGCGGGGAAAAAACGCGCGACAAACACGCGTTTCCGAGGACTACTTGGCTGTATCCCAATGGAAACGCCCAACAAAAACGGCCCAAAGAAGTACATGTACTTGTTTGGCCGTAGGCCGTTTTGTAGAGCGGTCAGACGGGCGGAAATACGGAAAGGTGTGAACCATACCCATAAAAAACAATGGGATTTTCATGTTTGTACGTTTTGTAGAGCGTTCATAGAGCCTTGAACGCGCGACAAAACGTAAAGGTGTGAACAGGGCCTAAAAGGTTTGTCTCCGACAGTTTATTTCTTCATGCCCCACATACAAAGACATAAAAATGCCAGTTTTATTTTTGCACCATAGAGAGTTTGTATGTCAGTCTAAAGAGCGCATTTATAGAGCTGATAATAGCTTGCCGTTTCTAGTGCGGATTGCTGGGCCAATGGAGGAAGGACAGTAGTCAAAGATAGTGCTATGTGTTTAAGGTACATGTGTTATATGGGAGTTTAATGTTCATTGAGTTATTCCATGGCGAATTTCCACATTAATAAAAGTCTACTAAAAAGTGGGTTCTGATGGTGCATAATTCCACTAACTGGCAGATGTCAAAAAACACAATTTTCCGATAGAGAACTATGTACCTGCTAACAAATAGACTTTGTTGTACTTTCAGTAAAATCCACCCTTTTCTGGGAGTTTATCAAGGGGCACAGGATCATTAGAACTAAGGTACAGTAGGTTATACTGCCGCCTTTAAAATTATTTGATAAAAGAACTGATAAGAGGGCCAACAACATTAACAGCCCACAAAAATAATGACAGTGAAAAAACAAACACTGGGGGTAGCCTGAAGCTTAATTAGGTGCTTAACCAGTTGACATCCGCGGTGTTAAACCCCCTTCCCATCCAGGCCATTTTTCAGTATTCAGCGCTGCGGTACTTTGACTGACATTTATTCCGTCATGCAGCGCTGTACTGAAATGAATTTTATACCCTTTTTTGGGGACAGATAGAGCTTTCTTTTGGTGGCGATCGGCGGGCTATGGACCCGCTGATCGCCTATATGTGTAACACCCGGTACCGGGTGTTCGCATTGGACGGGTCTTTCCTGCCCGTGCGTGCCCGCTAGGGGGTGCGCGCGAGCAGATGCTGCAGTGACCGTCCGTCCGTTTTTTTACTACGGGCGGACGGCAAGAGGTTAAAAGACCTTACTGCCAAAGCTCAGATCACAAGACTCCTGAATATCTACTTGGTAAAACTTTTGTGAATGTGTGAAGGAAGGACCGTGTAGGAGGCTTTTCAAATCTGAGAGGCAGAAGCTGGACCATTAACGAAAATACCCCCCCCCCTCCAAAAATAATATTTTATTGAAAAATCTTTAAAAATGCATTTAAAAGGCTAAAAACCAGCCAACAAAAAACAAAACAAAAAAAGTTTCAATACATTTTTAGGATTTTTTTTCTTATTGATGAATGTTTTTATGTAAAATTAACTTTGTCTCGGGATATGCAATTACAACTGTATAGTAGTTGGAGTATTTTGAAGCTTTTTGTGACTAGATGTTTACAATAGTAATGTATCCCTTTAAGAACTAAGTTGCACTGATAGCACACTGCATAAGAGCTTTCCCCCTGCTCACCCAATCTCCATATTGGATAGAAAAAGGTGGTCCTAGGTGTGTGCTACTTTCAGGTTTATTACAGTTGGATGCAATCCAATGATCTGATGTCTGTGTGTGGCTTTCTGCTTTCCTACTAGGTTCATAGAGTGTTTTGGGTTGTCTTTGGTCAGCACCCAGAGTTGCAGAGGCAGGGGAACTTCGCACAGGCATGGAGCAATGGCATTCCTCAACAAGTCTTTAGTAAGGACTTGTCCGTAGGCTTGAAAGATTTGCCAGTCCAGGATTTACAATTAAAGTGGGTCCCAGACTTCAGCCTGGAGTTTGAGCCCTGGGAAAAAACAAAAAGGAATGCTTTTGCTACAAGCAGAGTGGAATTTGCCAAATGAAGGCTTAGGGTTTCTTTTCTTGTGGTACTTTTATTTCCACTATTAGCAAAGTCATTGGAGGTAAAAGTCACTGGTGGTGCTTCTATCTCTAGTGACTTTGTAAATAAAGATGTCAAGAGAAGTGCCGAAGAGACATTCACTGTCAAAGAGCAAGTGAAAGCAAACATTTCTTACAGTCTTCTTCTACAGACCAGTATTTAAGTTCGAGAGTGCTCTGCATATTTATGAGAATCATTCTGGAAAGCAAAATTACTATCTCCAGCAAACCACCAGCACAGTAGTGCAATGCAGTAGGCATAAGTTATAACTCGTCACAGGAAGGACAGTTTTGGGGTCTGAGTTCCTTAGGCTACACTCCGAAGCAAATTGCCATAACAATAGCAGATTGCAGGGCAAAGCCGGTAGGGAAAACAAGAGCTTGGAAAGTATTTCAAGGCTCTTGTCAACCTGGTCTTTATACACCAGAATGTCCTCAACAGGAGCAGTCAAGAATTGTGTTCAGGCAAGAAACAGGAACAGACCATTGCTTAGCAAGCTCCTCCTCAATGGAATATTATCATCGAGTATGGTGTTTTGGAGCGACAAAATTTGTTAGATGTTGCCCAATCCCCATCCAAAACAGGTTTCAGTAACGAATGTACTGAAAAGATTAACAGTTTTTGGGCCTGTAACTGAGACCAAACAAGCAACTAGGATGGTTCAAGAAGCAGGTCGCTCCTGCTTTAAACATGTATGCACTGCATCAAGAAGAACTAAAATGGTTTAAGCCTATATGTCAAGTCAGCAGACAGAGGCTCCTCAGGCATGCATCCATTTAAAATGAATCATCTGCTCCAGAACCATCATCATCTATGCTTGCTGTACAGGAGTGATGCTTGCGGACTCTGAGGCGGCTTTGTGGGAGTAATGGTGGGCTGTGAGATCTCACCAGGGGTCCCAGTCGGCCTTGGTGGGTGACATGGAGATTTTCAGCCGGTGCTGTAAACGGGCGCCACCATTCACAGGAAAACTGCTGGGACCTTGGCTGCCTTCCTATGAACCGTGGTGCCTGTTTACAGCGCCTGCTGCATTTTAAAATGTAAAGCGCCGCTATCAGCACACCCCCCCTCCCCACAGAAATACACACATCTTTTAAAAATAAAAGAGCCCCCTTCACCTGCTTAAATTGTTTGCCAGGAGGGAGAATATTTCCCATATGACAGAGATGCAAGCCTGTGTAGCTGCTCCCCCCAGTCAGGTAGGCGGTCCGTAAATGCTTGCCTTACTAGTCAGCCGGCTGCGGGTCGCATGGTACCGGTCCGCAGGTGGCATTGGCCCCGCGGGCCAGTACTTTGATATTGCTGGACTCTTAAACTGTGTGCTGTACTTTACAATTAAACTTTAACATGTGCAACAAATACTGGATGTGACTTGCATATTGAAGAGTTAAGTCCTGCTAAAAATGGAGGGTAGTCATATGAACACAATACCAGAAATGATGTACTTACGCAATAATTCAAAGGACTAGTAGTCTGGACAGTGCCCAGACTCTCCCCAGCATAAAAAGGAACCATCAAATATACCATAGGATCAGACTGTAAAGACAGAAGAAAATGGGACTACATCAATTGCTGTGCTGGTAAATTTGCTAGACCCCAGCAGTTTCTCTACCATGGGAGATTTTTGTTTGTTTGTTGTATGTTCTCAATAGCTCAGACATTTTTTTTTTATTTTTTTTTAAGGAGAAATCTCCAAAATCTTAGTGTATTGTTATAATTTGCAAACACTAAAGGGCAAGCTTACTTGTCAGATATGGAACAATAAATATTGCAAGTACTACATATTTGAAGGCAACATTACAATAAATGTAAAGGTTTGCTGCAACTGCAAACTTAATTTAGAAGCTGTAAGTTCAAGGTTAGTCATTCATGTAGTAGTAAACCTGAAAAGGATCACAGCCTTGAACCTAACAGCCGGGCAAAAAGACTAAGGAGACCACAGAAATAATAGCAAGAGCTCACAAGTTACCAGATGTACCTGGCATCTTAGCTACATGGCCCCTGTGAATGTCTAGCCCATTCATTTGCATATTCCAGACTGCCTATACACTTACAATTACATTGAGCCACTGTCGCCATCATAGTAATAAAGGGGAAGATCAGACACTGACCAAAGCACATTTGTCTTTTTGTAATTATCAAAAAAATCATCACAAATGGTTACCAGCTAGAAGAGACTTCATTAAAAACACAAGTTTCTGATTTTGTACCAATTTGACAATAGCCAAGAGACCCAAGCAACATACACTAGAATACTTACTTTGCAGAAAAATATGTAAAGAAGTTCCATTATTCCAGATTCCTCCTTCTGCAGCATCCAAGCTTTATGGTATTCTGCTGCCCTCACAATGACTTGCTCTTCTGTGTCAGCTCCCACTGAATATCCCTAGAAACACATTTCACAAAACTCATTTGAATGTACCTGGACTGAAACAAAAGCATTGACTTTATTTTATTAACCAATATTCTCAAATCACAAATGGTGTCACCTGGTCTTTCTCAAATAATACCCACATGTTCAGGATGTAAAAAAGTGTGTTTGTATACTCACTGACAAAGTGGAATCAGCTTTTGTAAATGGTAACCCAAGAGGCCAGGCCACCGATAACATAACAGAAGCCAATGGTAACCCTATATTGTTTAACAGCGTCTGATATTTTCTTGTCAAAAGTGAAAAATAGTAAAGAAAGACAGATTGTGCAACTATTCCCCATTTATCTTGAGGTTGTCGCTCCCCCCCCCCCCCTTTTTGCCGTTTCCCCCTCTTTTGCTACCCTTCATTCCTACACACCTAGTGTCTTTTACTCTGTGCCTCCTGGCTTCCTTTCCCTTCTTGCCATCAATTCAATACTTACTGATATTCAACTTCAGTTACTACGCATTCCCCAGAAGCACGAGCTTCGCCACAAGCCTACCTTTGTGTGCTGGGTTGTAGACGTAGTCAGTTTTACACTACGCTTTCACACGTCGGACCGTTGTCTGAGCACATACCTTATAATATGTTCAAGCGAGCTTCGATATCAAGCATGTTATGAACGCATGTACTTTGTAACCTATTCTGGAGCTACCCGACATATTTTGTATGTTTTACTATGCTCAATAAACTAAACTTTTTGTGAAAAAAGACAGATTGTAAAGCAAGTTATCTCCCCGATTCAAAGATTTTTTTTATTTAGAGCACCAAGCAAATACAAGACCTTTAGCAAGACTTTCTTGTCCTGGACTTCAGTCCACAGAAGTGGTCGCTTGCTGCTTAGCTCTTTCATAGGTTCTGCATCAAACAATATCCTCTCCATACTACTTGAAAGAAGGCCTTTCGAGTTCTGCAGAGGCAGAGAAAGGGAATGGGTACAAACTTGAATATCTTTACAGCCAAATAGAGGAATGAGAAGGTGAAACTCACCATATAGCTTTGAATTCCTGCATCAGAGTACATCAGAGGTAGCTCAGGGAACCACTTATGCACCAAATCACTTAATTGTGCCTTATGAAAAACAAACAAAAATTTAGGTAAAGGGGACAAAAACTCCCATCAGGCCACATAGTGTTGGGAAAAAAAAGTAATAAATTCCTTTACATCATATTATTAACAGCAGATTTAACCTCGTCATGACCAGAGGTCAGTTAACAGACTCTCTCTATATGCATATACCTTATATACATTCACCTTACAAAGAGTGTGGTGGCTACCCTGGGACTAATAAAAAAATATATATATCTGTATAGATATATATACACATATACATGCATACATACCTCTCACACGCACACACTGGCCACATCATTAGGTAAAGCTTGCTATTACCAGGTTGGACCCGCATTTTGTCTTTAGAACTGTCTTAATTCTTCATGGCATAGATTCAACAAGGTGCTGGAAACATTCCTTAGAGTGTGTTCTATACTGAAATGATAGCATCATGCAGTTGGCTGTACAACCATAATGAGAATCTTCTGGTCCAACACATTCCAAAGGTGCTCCATTTGCTTGAGATCTAGTGACTGTGGAGGCCATTGGAGTACAGTGAACTCATTATGTTCAAGAAACCAGTTTGAGATGTGAGCTTTGTGACATGGCACCTTATCCTGCTGGAAGTAGCCATCAGAAGATGGGTACACTGTGGCCATAAAGGGTTGGACATGGTAAGCAACGATACTCAGGTAGGCTGCGGCATTTAAATGGTACTAATGTACCCATTGATACAAGGCAGAACTGATCCATGATTTCATGTTGTTTATGCCCAATTCCCGAGCAGCATAAAATCGAGACTTAACAGACATGAAAGTGTTTTTCTTCTTCAGTCTTCTATTGTCCAATTTCATGTCCAGACATGAAAGTGTTTTTCTTCTTCAGTCTTCTATTGTCCAATTTCATGTCCAGACATGAAAGTGTTTTTCTTCTTCAGTCTTCTATTGTCCAATTTCATGTCCAGACATGAAAGTGTTTTTCTTCTTCAGTCTTCTATTGTCCAATTGTAGTTTCCTGTTCTTACCTGACAGGAGTGGCACCCAGTGTGGTCATCTACTTCTGCAGCCCATCTGCTTCAACATGTTGTGTGTTCAGAGATGCTCTTCTGCACACCTTGATTGTAACGAGTAGCTATTTCAGATACTGTTACCTTTCTATCAGCTTAAACCAGTCTGGCCATTCATCTCTGACTTCTGGCATGAAGAAGGCATTTTCACCTAGATAATCCTAGAGATGGTTGTGCATGAATATCCCAGATCAGCAGTTAATGACCAGTGCCAAAACCATGCCATGTTCAAAGTCACTTAAATCACCTTTCTTCCCCATTCTGATGCTTAGTTTAAACTTCAGCAGATCTTAACTATTTCTACATGCATAAATGCATTGAGCTGCTGCCATGTGATTGGCTGATCAGATATTTGTGTTAACAGTTGAACAGGTGTACCTAATAAAGTGGCCAGTGTGTGTGTGTACCTTCAAGAAGCAGATAACCACCAGCATGCAATAGTAGAAGCTGCTAAATTTTATGACACAATATTAGAGCAACGTTTATTTAAAGCGTACTATATTTTTGGTAAATAATACACTCCAAAATGTAACTGTGTGCAGTGTTTTTTTTTTTACTGTAGTTCTCTTTAGGGTCACAGGAGGACTTTTACCAATGTCCTCCTGTGACCCAAAACTGACATGCTGACAATGCAGAGCAGTGCTGCAGCAGAGAAGGATACCACCAATATTGTTGAGATCCAGTCAGCACTGGAGGAACACGAGCGGGGAGGGGAGGAATCCCTGCGGGGAGTGGTGACTGAATCACCGTTCTCTGCATGCAGGGAGAAGATGGTGAACTGAGCGATCAGCTGTATGTGATTGCTCAGTTCTCAATCAATAGAGCTGACGTGTGACACGTCGGCTCTAATTAAAGAAGTATGGGGTTAAGGTTTTCCCCCCATAGTTCTCCTTAGGGTAACGGGAGGACAAACTACCGTCCTCCCGTCACCCTAGACTCAGTATACCGCGAGCAGCAGCTCACGGTATACTGACACGCCGCAGCTGAAGTGGATACCGACAATTGTGCCAGGATCTGCCCAGCTGTGTGACTGACAGCTGGCTCTGCCTATCTAGAGGCAGAGCCAGCTGTACCCTCCCCCGTCCGTTCCGCCAGTCAGTGCTGGCGGATCAGAGCGGGGAGGGGGGAATCCAGCCCCTCCCCTGTCACGGCAGAGAGCCGTGACAGGATTGAGAGGTGAGCGAACGCCGGTATGTGTTCGCTCACCTCCCGATCTGCTGAGCCGACCTGTGACAGTCTCATTGTCACAGGTCGGCTAGAACTAGGGATGTCCCGATACTAGCATCGGAATCGAGCCCGATACAGTGCATTTTGACAAGTACTTGTACTTGTCAAAATGCCCCGATGCCTAGCGCTGTTTTTTTTTTTTTACCGTCCGTGGTGGCTGGGGTTGGGGTCCTCTGGGCAGGCTGGAGGAGCGTTGCATCACTGCTGTGGGCGGAGCTCCAGGTGGGGTCTAATGTAGTTGGCTGGCGACTGCCCAGAGGACTCCTCCCGTAGCTCCACCCACAGCAGTGACGTGACACTCCTCCGCTCAGCCTCTCAGTGAAGAAATCATTAGTTCTCTCTACAGCCGTGTTGAGGGTGTCTTTGTCCAAGAAAAAATGTCCGTCGCCAGCTGGAGACTTAGTCCAGGACAGTTTGTACTCTACTCTAGTGTCCAACAAATCGCTTCCATTTACTTACAGTGCAGTCTGTCCTACCCAAAATGGCCACCGCCAGCAAGAGCCCCAGTACAGGAAAGTTTATTCTCTAGTGTCTGGGAAATCTCCTTCATTTACTTGGAGTACATTCTGTCCTACCCAAAATGGCCGTCACCTACCAGAGCCTTAGTTAAGTTCAGATTGGTCTCTAGTGTATGGGAGGTAACCTAGGGGATGGTGGGAGAGGACGGCTGTGTATGAGAGGGAGATAATGGAGGAGCTGAATAGATATATTAGAGGAATCAGAAATGATATAATGAGTGGGGGAGACATTTCAGTGTCTGTGGAGAGAGGGATCTGATGAGCCCTCCGAGAAGGAGATTATACAGGATGGCGGAGATACAGGTGGGATGGAGGAGAGAACAGAGTGAGGTCTAGCTGCGGATAAGGCAGGCTCCATTGAACAGGCACCAGTAAGTAAGGGCCTGTGCTGCTGAGATGGCAAGTGGTGTAGTTTTTGCCACTTTGCCAGTATTGTATTTATAATCTGATTGCAAGTGTACATTTACTTTTTCCTATAGAGCATTAGGTTAAATCATGATCTATAGTATACTACATACATAACATGTAGTTGTACTATGGATCATGATGTAACCTAATCATGTTAGCAGGGGAATAGGGGATAATTGAAAAACTCTATTGCTGTAGTGTACTCTTATATGTAGTACATGTACAGAACTAGCAGAGTATAATTGTAAATGTATTGTCTGCACTGTATTAGCAGTATATACTCTATATGTACTACATATTGAGTGCATATAGAGTACACACTGCTAATACAGTGCAGACAATACCTTTACAATTATACTCTGCTAGCATGAATGTAGGGCTGCAACAACTAAATCGACATAATCGATTATAATCGATTATTGAAAAAGTTGTCAACTTTTTCAATAATCGATTAATCGGCTTCCGATCAGTTGGCCCTGTTCACGGGTCCACAAACGCTGCGCGCCGCGCCTCCTCCCCAACTCGCGCCCACCGCTGCCAGACCCGCCCGCATCCGCGCTCTACACGCTGCACCTCCTTCCCGCCTCACACTCA